AAATAAGCACTGAATTTAATTACCATTTGTGGTATTTCCATGACTCAGAATGAAAATAAAACAAGTGCTCTTTTTGTTTGTGCTGGTTTTCTCATTAATGCTGAAGAATGTAAGGATCAAGTAAGCCTTACCTTGCTTCATATTGGCTTACAGAGCAGCAAACCCTACATATACCAATACAATTTTATGATCGACACTAGAGGACTATTACAAGGCTTACAGCAAAGTTTGTGCATGACAGTGTCCCTCTATTGTCCTTTATTTTGAAATGGCATTGCACTGCCTTAAGTTGTTGGCAGCCAGTGATTTAGATTTGCCCCAAGGAATCTTTGGATCCTTAAGTTTTGTCATCAAGTTGCGTCATGGTGCCTTAAAGAAGGATATTTTTGGTTGGTTCAAATGGTTGTTGTGTTACATTTGAAGAGTCCAAAGGGGGATTCAAGACAGGGTGGCTCAAACTCAAAATGACATTATACTAATGTGTCTAGGAACACACTCTGTCATCCACATACAGTTGCACACATGCCCTCTTTTTGTGACAAGCACACACACCAATGAACTATTAAGGGCCTGACTGAGATTAGCACACTGCCATGTTAAAAGAACATCTTAATTTACAAGAATGAGAGGAGGAACACATACATGTAACCATGTTCTCTATAGCAGGGGTCTCAAGCTCAAATGACCTGAAGCTCACTTGCCAGGTGGTGTTCTCTATTAGAGTTGCTTGAACAGCTGAACAGTGGTTTTACGGCAATATATTTGAACTGTATACAATTACTAGCACAGTTATACTCTTGACATATGGACTTATGTCTTACTTGGATTTGCATACCACTTTATTAAGTGCAACAGTTCCAAAAGTAAAAATAAAATTTTTTAATAATTTATAATCATTGAAGTTCTCTACACCGCACATTGGATCTCTTTATTATCACCATGTCTACATTTAGTTTATTGCAATGAGAAGATTAGCAAGCATGTCAAACGTGGCACTGAACAAAAACTCTGGCGTTATGAGTGGTGAGTGGATTCTGTTTGAAGCACATCTCTGATTGGCCGTTACATTCAGGACATCAACGGATATGTCGTTATTGGCTACATTGCTCAACACTGCAAAAACACATTGCAAATAGAAACCTTTGACGCTCTCCAGAGTGCAAATACACACTGGAGAGTTTGCCAAATATTTTTCACTAATATCAGATGGGGCCCCCTGATTCCCTGGAGCCCTAAGCAGCCACTTATCTTGCATATTGTTTAGGCTGCCACAAACAGATACTCTACTTGTGTAAAAGTTATGATATTGTTGGAAGTTTTTTTTAATCATTTCCTAGATAAAATCGAACATTGCCCAGCACTCCAACCTGTCAGACCACAGTTGCACCCCTGAACACAGTTATGGCATATCAATTATTTCTCTTATGTCAGTTATCTCAAACATGCATTCTGCATGATCTATATAAGTTTGACTTATTGAAAATGCAAACTGACGTGGCCAAAGTGGAATGTGAGGTGATTTTGTTTAAATGCTTGACTGTGCCCTATGGGGGTGGACAGGTCTTGTTTTTTCTTTTCATTACGGATGCTGATTTCACTGATGGAATCTGAGCAAACTGCTGATGCACAGGACAGAACAAGCTTTCTTCCTCTGTTATGTAGTTGGATGTGAAGTTTTCCCCCTAGAAACACATTTTCAGGGGTCATGCAGTTGTGTAAAAATAAATCAAAACCTCAACCTTTTTGAAGATTTGATGGGCAAAAGAAAGGTGTATTCCCAATTTAACAGAGCACTAATATTCTTATTCTGGCCCTCCCTGGTCTCAGTGCACATGTCTGTTTGTAGTGGGTAATAGCCAGTGTCAAATGTGTAGATCACAGCATGATGTTGTGGAAGAGCACAGATGATCATGCAAATGTGTGATGTAAATGACAAGGATTTGTCTCTGTATGCAAATGACACGTATTGTGGTGATTCTTTGCTGAGGAGAGAATTAGAAAGACGTGTTGTAATGTAAAACCATCAGCTTCTACATCAGCACTCATTTGAATCAGATTGCTTTTGTGGTTCTTCTCAGTGTGTCACACTCCATAAAAACGAATCATGGTGGCCGCAATATTAAGGAAAATCAAAACTGAACTAGTAGTTGTTATAAATAAGTTATATTGCACTTACTCTCGACTATAAAATGATTATGATTATTTTATTTTTTTGTTAATAATTTTTCGCATATTTTTCTTGCATGGCAGAAACAGAAGCTCTCCTCTTCAATAATCATATAAAACAATTCACACACATACTAATTTCTAATAATTCTAATCAAGTATGATGAAGTATAATCATACTTTTCATTCATTCATAGTTTTGTCCATAGTTGGCTGACGTTAACATTGTGTCCAGTCAACCTATTGACATTTAAATGTTTTTTAACCTTCAAAGCATATTTAATCATTATTTTGAACATCACACCAACATCAAGAATTATTTAAAATCAGAGTAAGACAATTTCTTATCAAAAATATGTATAGACTTCTATTTAATATAGAAAATAAACTTAATTTGTTTTTGTTTTAAACAGTTTAGCCTATTTTTGTTGTATTGGAGACATACAAAGAATGTTATGTCAAACAACATCATGCAACTGAAGTGAACTGGTGTCTATTTTAACATGAGTTGAACCTTTCTGTTATCTTCTACACAAATGACCAAGTGTTGCCTGTATGAACACACTAACACACACATCGTCATGCTTGTGTAACTGTGTTGGATGGAAAGATGTGTATGAAAGAACATATGCCAGTACGGTAGGGGATTTGTGTTTCCTCTTCCTCCTCTCCAAGAGCTCAGGGGCTGAGCCAGTAAATGCTTCCCAGTCAACATGTCCTCTCATCCCATTGGCTGAGCTACAAAGAGAGAGAGAAAACCTAAGTCAATTATGCTGAGCTCCTCTATTTTCAAAGCTCTGCGGTACTTCAAATCTTACTCTCTGAGATATACATTTGTGTTTTACTCTGTGAGTACTATTTACACCTTGTTCATTTTGCATTGAAATGAACTGTGACCCTTTAACTCAAGGGGTTTGCCCCTATGAGAATGTACTTTCACATTAATGGTCTAAAGACAAGTAGTTACACAACTGTTACATACCAAGAGTTTGGTATGTTGTCGGACAAAATCCATTTATCCATTTAAACCCTCCAGTATTTTATGCTTTTACTTTCCATGTGTTCATTGAGTGGATTTTCATTCAAACTAACAGATTTTTGTCCTTTTTAAATAGAGGGGACATTTAAACTGCCTATTTATATATAGTTGTTTTTATTTGTTTGTTTTAACTTTGTCCCAAATCCATATCATAAATATGAAAATCCATCATATAAATATGAATAAATACTTTTTAAAATAACCTAACCCCAATTTTCATTATTTACTGAGCAAAAGTGATAAATTTTTACACCAATTACTACTAGAAAAGCTTAAGATATTAACAATGTGCTATTTTAAATCTAGAAATAATAATGTAAAATTATGCAAAATGTAGTGAATTAAATATTATATGTGTATTTTTAGGATAAATGAAATGTAAAAAATTAGCCTTCCAAAGAAGTCTGTCACCTTCATTTACACCACAAAATGCTTTTAAATACAATACTGACATGGAACTCTTCATTAAAAATGACAAACAAATCTCCAGAATTCTTCACAATTATTTATTTATTTATTTACTTACTGTGGTTAATTCTCCAAATTAAGTAAAAATGAATTGACTTTTAAAATACAATGGCAACACCATGGCCAAGTCATATTATCAGAAGGGCAATTACACATGTTTTAAGTGGTACTCCAAGATATGGTTTTATGTTAAATGTAGAGTAAGCCTCAAATCTGTTTACTTCATCTTCTAGTCAGAGCATCAGTCGTGTCAATTGTGATGATGAAAAGCATAATTATTTACACACCCTCACCTTGTCTCACAGTACATGAAATCATTTAAGAAGAAAGCTACAGCAATAGTTTCCCTTGTTATGCCCATCAATTACAGCAACAGCCGCAGCAGCATAAGTCAGTGTTCTCCACATAGTGTTGTGGTTATGCTCAGTCATTTCCATTACCACACTTCTCTCTTGCCAATCACACTTGGCCAAGGTTTCTGCCCTGCTGCAATATCCTGTCACTTGCAGAGGTTTTCTTTAAGTGTGATCAGAGGCCGTTACTCTCATCATGATCTTTATTTGGGTGTTTTACAAGCTTATATTAGATTAGTGTGTTTCTACCTGGAGTCCTGGTGTGCAATGTTTGTTGCTTGATCTCCATTTGTGAACTGTGGAAGTCTGGCTCAAATAAGTACATTGGCAGCTTGTCGTCATGGCAGTCTGCCATGTTCGCCTGGACAGAATGATGTCATATCCTGAGTATGCTATATTCGCTGACCTATTTTTGGCTAGAGATAATTGTGAATGTGTGTGCTGCTTAGATATGTATGTTTGTGTGATTGAAGAGAGACAGAATGTATGTTGTTTGTATTAATCTCTGTAATTAGTACGTAATTGCCCAAACGTGAGCAAAATAAAAGTTGAAATATTAAGGAACCTGTTTTCTTTTCAGCTCCGCTGGAATGATGAGTGTTTTATATTTCCATTTACTTTTACTGCTTATTGATTTATGGCATTTCTTAATTAAAAGTGGCGTTTTTTTCCTACGTCTTTCTTTCCTGCAGTTGCACTTTGCATAATTGCAAGAGATGGATTGTGGGGAAAGTAAAGCAGATGATATTGCAGTGCTTCCTTTGCCTGTTTATCATGCTACTTTATCCTTAGGTGGCTGGGATTTCTGTTTTGAAGCTGTGGGAAGATTTATGGATGCACTATCATCTAGCTGCTTGATATAAACATGCAAATAGACATTTAGCCCAGGAGACATATGTGAAGAGTGATTGCACCCAGAAATGCCAGAAATTTATGTGCAGATGAACTAACTGACAATCTCCATTTCTTCCCAGAGCTCCATTCAAATCACCTTTGATGACAGTCTTCAGCTCCCAACTTCTGCATCCATTGACCGTGTGACTTGCACTAATCAATCAGTACGCAGCATGGTAAGCAGTCAAAGCTTTGACACCAGAAAGATTATTAATTTGTTTGGGCAATCTAACAAAAAATAAATGTGCAAATATCCAAGTTATAATGTTGCTAAAGATGCTGTTCTTTTGGACTAAATCCTGAAGAAAATGTATCACAGTTTCCACAAAAATATAAAGCAACACAATTGTTTTTAACATTGATAATAAGGAATTTTTCTTGGGCATCAAATCAGCATATGTAAATGATTTCTGAAAGGTCATGTGACACAGGACTGGAGTAATGGCTACTAAAAAATGTCGCTTTGCTATCACAGGAATTACATGTTAAAATATTGAAAAAAGTTATTTTGATTGTAATAATGCAATATTACTGTTTTTAATGTATTTTTGATCAAATAAACCCTAGTGAAAAATAAATATACTAAAATGTATTTCATGCTAAGTACACTACGAATACATTTACATATTTATGTACTTAATAAAAATACCCTGCAATTGAACTTTTAGTATACTAAATTGGTATACTTAAAATCTGCTGAATTGGAACAACTAATTTTGTACTTAATGTACTTTAAATGTCTTGCATTTAAAGACCGATATAATTCAAATACAATCATACAATCCTCATCAATAGTGACATTGAAACACATTTTAGGCTTAATATTAAAAAATGTGCATTGTGCACTAGTACTCCAAATAAAGTTTAATTATATTTTTATATCAGTAATTCTCAAGCGATATGTAAGTAAATATGTTAAAGGGGTCATATGATGCTGCTAAAAAGAACATTATTTTGTGTAAAAAATTGAAATCGCGTCATATGACCCCTTCAATAGATTTGAACTATACTTGGTATGAAATAAATGTATTTTAAATATATATATACTTATAAATATAAATATAAAAATACTTTTTTACTAGGAAATACAGCTTTGAGACTTCTTTCAAACACGTTTAAAAATCTTACAACCCCAAACTTTTGAACAGTATATGTAAAAAATGTATATATGTATAAATAGGATTTAGTTATAATTTTGTGTTCTACATATAATTGCAAGTAATTACAATAATAAATGTTTAAATTTTTTACAATAATACATTTTTTTGGAGTGTCAGCCATTCAGCTTCATTGAGTTCATCTGCATATTCTCTCCTCTCAGTGTAAATGAATGAGAGCAGTAATAGTGCACACATCCTTGCAGTAGTATTCATTTGCACGTGCAGTTATCATATCCAAAATGATTTTCAGGCATATTTAATATATTTGCATTGACAACGCCCTTTATATTTGCATGCATATGGAGGTAAATTACATTTCCATTAAGAGAAACGTGCACCCGAGAAGCTAATTTTTGGTTCATTTGTTAGACACAATCTTCATACAACCACATTACTTAGTAGATCAACTCAAACATGTTGTGTGCATGCTCTTAATATTTTTTGGATCAATCTGTTTTAAACTCTTAAATCAGGGCTAATGTGTCCATCCTTTTGAATTGCATTCAGTATATATTTTGTCTGTTTTTTAGATACCATGTTGTGTCCAACTCAGTCATTATTTGTCAATCATACCCTCAACCTCTTCCAGGTCCTGCAGTGCAATTGTTCAGTTGGCACCGTAACATTCCACGTGACTGTCACTCAGCAGTCACCTGCAGCCGTTTCCATGGTTACCTACCAGATCACAATGAAGCCCATGCAGGCCCAGGTAAAATACAAATGAAATGGATTTGCATCTGCGAGTTTGCATCAGTCTGCATAGCTGCACACTCAACTTTCATTAGTCTGACATCTCCTGCCATTGCTCACATGAATGAGCCTCTCAGTTTGCCCATTTTTTTCCATCTCAATAGCTTAATGTAGATTGTGAGGTTTAGTGGCTATGAATATTGCATGCGATACTCATCTCAAACAAACGACACCACTTGATGTGCAGTGACATAGTTTAATGTTTCATCTCTAGGTGGTAAAAAAATGGAGCAGCCATCGATGAATATATTACTTTTGCAAATTCAGTGTGAAATAGAAGTTAATATGTTCTGTATGGACTTCTGTAGTTGCAGGTCTGTCTTGAGGAAGTGGAAGAAGAGGGTCTCCTTGTGTCCTGGATTTTTTCCAAGCAACCTCATCTCTCTTTAACCGTAACACCATGCCAAAGAGTCCAGAAAGAGGTAAGGGAGTAGTTTTGGTCAAGTAGGTCTTGTTCCTTTCAGCTTGTCAAGTCAAGTCAAGTCACCTTTATTTATATAGCGCTTTTAACAATACAGATTGTGACAAAGCAACTGAACAGCATTAATTAGGAAAATAGTGTCAATAATGCAAAATGACAATAGTAAACACTCATTTTTCAGTTAAAGACAGTTCATCATTGAATTCAGTGAGGTCAACATCCAGCTCAGTTTAAATAATATCTTTGCAATCAAGTCAACGATATCGCTAATTTAGTGGGTACAGGATCTAACAGGCATGTTGTTGGTTTAGATGCAGTGATAAGTTTATTTAGCTCTTCCTGTCCTATAGCTGTAAAGCACTGCAGTTTATCTTTTGGTGCGATGAATGAAGCTGAAGTATTATACGCTGTAGAATCTACATTTGTTATTGTATTTCTGATGTTATCTATTTTATCAGTGAAGCAATTCATAAAGTCATTACTATTAAACTGTGAGGGAATATTTGGATCGGGTGGCGTCTGGTTATTTGTTAATCTAGCCACTGTGCTAAATAAAAACCTAGGATTGTTTTGGTTATTTTTTTTGAGTTTGTGGATATGCTCGGCCCTGGCAGCTTTTAGAGCCTGTCTATAGCTGGACATACTGTTTTTCCACGCAATTCTAAAAACTTCCAAGTTAGTTTTTCTCCATTTGCGCTCAAGACTACGAGTTTTTTTCTTGAGAGAATGGGTATTACTGTTGTACCATGGCGCAGTACGTTTTTCTCTAACCTTTTTCAATTTGATGGGGGCAACAGCTTCTAATGTATTAGAGAAGATAGCTTGTGATGTATTACAAATTGTAAACGGTATAAAAAGAAACTGCTTTCGCAACTGTGCATATAATCTGAAATCTTTGTTTGTTTTTGTCTTTAGGGCTCTGATGTGGAAGTGGACAGTGAAATGATTGCGGCACTGGTGGAGGACACACTGTACACAACACACCCTGCCATGATCCTCAACCTGAGAGCCTGTGTATCAAGCCCTGCGGTAAAAAATACCAGTATCGATTGCTATATCGCACAGTAGGGGTTATGACCGTGTAATGGGTCAGTGTGATGACCAAGGTTTCTGCAGGCCTTAAAAAGGTCTTATACGTCTGAATTCACCCTTTCACAAATTAAGGCCTTAGAAAGGTCTTAAATCAGAGCAGAAGGTCATGGTATAAATAAAGATATGTAGTCTTGTTTTCTGAGAAATTGAACAGAATTGAGTGAGTTTGTTTGGAACAAGAACAAATATGTGTCATCCTAGGTCCACTGGCAGATATTTATTCTTTTTAATCATGAACTCATTATTAATTTCACAGAAAAGAAGATTCATGTCATTTTTCTTTTCAAGTAAGTGTATCTCGATTTAAGAATTTTTAGACGTAGGTACTGGGAAACAAGGCAAATATATTGAGGAATAACATAGCTTTTTTTCAATGTTGTTAAAGGTATTTACATATTCTAGTGGCTGGGAGCAAAATCATTTTTGAGCCTTTTAAGTCTTATTTTTTGTCAAATTAATTAAGAATTAATGGAGATTGGTGAGAAATTGTATTTTCAAGTGTTTCTAATGCTACATATTGACATATTACGTAATTATTTGTTACATTTTCTTTACTTGGTATTAAAAAGGCCATTAAAAAGTCTTTAAAAATCCTGCAGAAACCATGTGTGACAGATCTATGTGTATATTTTGGTTGAGAGTATTTGAGGTATGACAAATCTGTACTAAACATACAAGACATGTAATTAAAGTCAACAACAACGAGGAAGGAAATCTCAAAACATGTTACTTTCATGTTATAAAACATGTACATTCTCTATTGTTACAGTTTCCCAGGGAGAAGCAGATAGGTGGTCTGAACTCTCCATCTCAGAGCAGGCGGATTTTGGTGCACCAACTCAAAGCAACCAATGTCAAAAAAGGTATAAAATTATCATGATTCTTAAAAACTTTGTGTTAGAATTAAAAATTTGCCTACATATTTACACAATCAGCTACTCCCTGATTTGCTTGAATGGCTAGTTTACTGTTTTGTAAGGAAGTCTGATTAGGCTGGTTTCACTTTCATTTGACCCCAATTGGATGTATTTTTAGGGCACTTTACATAACAAGAGTTATTCAATTTTGCAGTGGGTAATATTTTTTAAGTTTTTGAATTATCTTATGTTAACTCAGAAACTCTGGATGTGAGCAGTTTATAATGCAGGTTATGTTAAAGGGCTCATATGATGCGATTTCAAGTTTTCGTTTCTCTTTGGAGTGTTACAAGCTGATTGTGTATAGATAAGATCCCTGAAGTTGCAAAGACTAAAGTCTCAAAACCAAAGAGATATTCTTTATCAAAGTTAAGACTCTGCCACGCCCCCTAAAACTGCTCGTTCTAACACGCCCCCACATATCTACCTCACTATGTGGAAATATTAGCATAATGCCTCCCAAATGTTCACGCAAAGAAAGAAGGTGTGGTTTCAGTAACCGCAGGTAGTTTTGAAGCAGCCATGTCAGGGAGACGCTGTGTGTTTCTAGGCGAAAGCAAAAGCACTTTATTTGGCCTTTCCGAAAGTAGATGCATTTAGAAATCTTTAAGATTACTTACAACAGAACAGCAATGCATTTTATGGACGACCGTTTCGTGAACCTAGGAGAGGAGGTAATTCTGACTTTGCTATGACAATCTGCCGCTTCTGAATCAGCTACTGTTTTGTTATTAGTTTAAGTATTTGCTATTGACTGTTCAAATGCGGAGTTTTGCATCGTGTGTGTGTGCGCGAGCGAGCGAGAGAGAGAGCGCAAGAGAGAGATATAGAGAGAGAGACGGGGTCACATCACAGTGGAGTCAGCTGTCTTAACCGTGGCTTGTGTAATGCAAACACATACCAGCTTCATCACTGTGTCTGTCACGCGACTCTGTTCCCCTTTCGGGCTCTGTCTTTACATTTATTTTGAAAGATGAAGCTCGCGATTATGGTAAGGGGCGTTACATTTCCGATGCGTGCTTGCGGTGTTCAGCCAATCACAATGCACTGGGTCAGCTAGCCAATCAGAGCAGACTGCGCTTGTCGGGAGGAGGGACTTTGTAGAAACGAAGCGTTTGAGAGAGGCGGGGCATAGAGGATCTACAATAATGTACAGTATTTGAAAAAGAATGTGTTTTTTGAACATTAAAGCATGTCAACATATTCTGTTACACCAAATACACCAAATAATGATCTTTAAAAAAGCATCATATGACCCCTTTAATTACTTTTCCAGGATGTCAGACTCATGTAGGAGAACTTTGTTGTGTGCTGAGTCTGGACACTCCTTCCATTGAATGGAGAAGCGGATTCCGTACTCCATCCCCCAGTCCTGGAGCTGCCCTGCACTGGACTGACGACTTCAAACTGTAAGCACACTATTCTGCCATCATTATTGTAAAGCAGAAATAGATCAACATAAAGACATGAAACTAGATTAATGGAGTGGGTTGAAACTTTCTGAGTGAGGTGTTGACATGTCTGACTCCTAGGAAATGTTTCTTATAATGTCATATTCTATTAGACAGGGTCCTTTTTGTTCATGTAAGTAATTTAACTCTGTGCTGCAGGACTAGACTGATAATCCAGTGGGATTTTCGAACACCTTCCATTTAAAGGTCAACTTCACCAATTCAGTTTGACACAATGGAGTGTTTTCATCAAAGCCCGTTTTATAATGGCAGCCCTTCTGTCATGAATGAAGGTGTGAAGCTGTGAGCAGCTCCACCAATGGCTCTGTGAATATATGCAGCAGCCAACTCCCATAGAAACAAAGAGCTGTTTAGCACATTTAATTACAGCCATTCCCAACACCTCGCTACTTCCTGTGATGCCAATTACCAGAATGGCCAATTTAATTCTCATAGCCAGTATACAGATTGCTGCTGTGTGGCCAAAGGGGATATTTAGTCTACCACAATACCGATAGTATACAACAGTTATAAAATTGTATGCAAAATTGTATACAAAAGTTATAACAGTTGAAACCTAAAATCCAGTTTCAACTGTTAAAGTCAATTCAGTCTTTTAATAATACAAAAAGTCACTTCATCTCTAATGTTCAGTATTACAAAATTAAAGTTTTCTGTGTGTGCATTTTATATGATAAATCAAAGTCTGTTTTTATCAATTAGGGAAGTAGGACCAGAAACCAAAGAACTCAAAGTAAGACTTGTGGAGAAGAACAGCAAAGGAGAACGTGAGTCACTTTTCAGTGCCTGTCATTCAATAGTTCATCCAGCACTATAAGAAATGTATTGATTTCAGATGATCTGGTGAATGATTAAAGACGGATATTCTCCATTCTGTCTGTCTGCTGATTAATTGGTTTTCTTTTTCCTGTTTGACAGAGTTTCTGCCTGGTTGTGCTTCCTTACAACTGGATCTCTCTAAGAGAATTCCTAATGGACATCATAAACTGTCCATCGCACCAGGTCATGGTCTGGCTCCAACTGCAATTGTAACATTAGAAGTAAGGACAGCATAAAGTAGAATTCAGATTTTATATTTTATATGCACTAACTTTCAAAAGTTTGGGGATGGTAAGACTAATCTTTTGGTAAGAAGTATTTTATGCTCACCAAAGTTGCATCTATTTGACAAAAATAGAGTAAAACAGTAATATTGTGAAATATTATTACAATTTAAAATAAATATTTTCTATTTAATATATTTTAAAATGTAATTTACTCATGTGATGGTATAGCTGAATTTTTAGCCAGAAGCCATTAGCCAGTCATCAGTGTCACATGATTCTTCAGAAATCATTCTGTATATTTATATTCATTATAAATGTCTTTTAGTATAAATGTAACTTCTGATCAATTTAGTGTGTCCTTGCTAAATAAAAGTAATATATTTAAAAAATCTATTTACCCGAAATGAGATCATTCCCATAATTCCCATGTATAAAGTATGCATATGGATGGCATTATTTCCATAACACGGCAGTCAGAACTTTTAAGGCTTCCGCCAACCTTGTGTTCACTTTCTGAACACTCTGATAAGTCCCTTCTAAATGTCAATGTGAATTATTTAATAGAAAACATATCTTATTACAGTGGTCTGCCTTGTGAATTGAATGCTCACCTTATCTCTGATTAACTCGATAACGGAATTATTTCTTTATTTAACCCAGTACTTCAGTTCACACTGTACTTGTTACACACATGTGCTTACAGGTACACACTTAAACGCTCTGAATAATAGTTGTGTTTGTGAACAACACATAGGCAAAGACAGCTCAAAATGATTTAGGAAGATATCAGTGGCTGTATTAACCCTATTTCTAATTTCTTTTAAAAAATGAACATACATGAATTATGTTTAAGGTAATGATCTTATGTTTCTGCCTCCATAGCTGTTGTATTTGGAGTCCAGTGATTTGCGTGCATGTCAGAATGCCACTCCTCTGCGATCCTCGGTCACCCCCTCAAAGAAGGTGGACGTGGATCGGACCATCATGCCCGATGGCACCATAGTCACCACAGTAACCACCATCCAGTCACGACTAAAACTGGACCGCAAACTAGGTAAAGCTCACTCAGGAACACTGAGAACACGCATACCATTCTGTCTGCATCGTCCAGTACCATCGAAGTGACTTGGCGGTTTTACCCTATCCTATTTCTTCCTCTGTAACTGCAGGAGACTCTCCGTCTAGGTCTCCCTCAAAGGTGGAGGTGACTGAAAAGACTCCCACCGTGCTCACAAATAGCTTGCAGAGCACCAGTGCCAGTCCTACCCCCAGCAGTGAGCTCCACATTAACATTTTTTTTTTTATGCATGAAATTGATTAAAAGTAAGAGTAAAGACATTTAGAATGTTTACAAAAGATTTCTATTTCAAACTTAATGTGCTTTGAACTTTTTATTAATCAAAGAATCCTGAAAACAAATGTATCATGGTTCCTACTAAAATATTGAGCAGCACAACTGTTTTCAACACTGATAAACACCAAACCAGCATATTAGAATGATTTCTGAGGGATCATGTGACACTGAAGACTGGAGTAATGGCGGTTGAAAATTCAGCTTTACCATTACAGAAATAAATTACATTCTAAAATCTATTAAAATAAAATAAAAAAAAAACTGTTATTTTAAATTGTAATACCATTTCACATTGTAACTGTTTAAATGTATTTTTGATCAAATTAATGCCGTTTTGGTAAGCATAAGAGACGTCTTTCAAAAACTTTAATAAATCTTACAGACTCCAAACATTTAAATGGTAATTTACATCTTCATCATCTTTATAATTAAATTATTGAAAACGTTTTTAATAATTGAAATCTTCATAATTGAAATGTGTAAATATGTTCTAGATTTAAAGTTATAAGTTCACAAAATTAGTACCACAAATGTATAATAAATTATTTATACTGTTGTGTATATTATTTTAACAATATATTTTTGTTAATATTATTAGTATTTTTGTTAATATTTATTAAATATAAATATATGATTTATTATAAACTGATTTTTGTTAATATTAAAATAAATTTTGTAAATATTATTTATTGTAGATAGATAAGATACTTTTTTTTACAGTATAATTTGAATGAATAACTAGGTTTGTGATCCTGTTGTGTTTGTGTCTGTGTGCTATTTCCAACCAGAAGGCACCCTCCCTAATGGGCTGGATCCCGTAGCAGAAACGGCCATTCGGCAGCTTACGGAGTCGGCGAGTAAGATACCCAAGAAGACACCTACTAAACGCAGCACTCTCATCATATCTGGCGTGTCAAAGGTCAGAGCCTGAACATCAAGTAAACAGACATTTCTAATCAGTGTCATAAAAACATCTTGGTTACAGTGATGCAAGCGTCTAGGGAAATGATCACGAGAACAGTCTCTTTAGAGCTTCCCCAGGGTAATTTGTTTTAGTCATCTCTTTCTGTCACATAATGTTGATGTAACTCTCATCAAGACAATTTTTAGCTGGGAAATTGTCTCTTTTAGGCTGTTATAACACAGAAACGTTACATTTACGTAATGTTGACTTCCTTTTAAACATTGTAATCTATAAGTTTGTAAATCTAAATTTCATCACAAGCTCAGTCGTCTCATATCACATCTCAAAAATCATCAGATCATACTGATCCGTTTGCAGTTTCAACTTCACTGTTTGACCTGACAGGGTTCACAGAAGGGCTGACAGCGGAGCCGCTTCTGCAAACACACAGCCAACATGTTGTCTTCCTCAGCTGTGCCTGCAGCACATGTACATGAGGAACACTGTTAAAGCTAATTTTCTGTCCTTCCCTCAGGTCCCCATTACTGAAGATGACTCAGCCTTATCAGTGGGCTACGCTGCAGCAATGGACGCAGCCCTACAGGGGGCGCATTCTCCCAGCGGAGCCCCAAACCACCACGGAGCATCCGCACATCAGGAAGCAGACGAGACTACGCCGTCTGACGTGTCCGAGCGACCATCCGTGGATGACGTGGAGTCAGAGACGGGATCAACCGGAGCACTGGAAACACGTAGCCTCAAAGACCACAAAGGTGTGAACTTCTTTGGAATGTATTTTTGATGGATTCATCATAAAATGTCTTTTTATGGTTTCATTTATGTGCATGAATGTTCTGTTTTAGTGGGATTCCTCCGCAGTGGCACCAAGCTTCTATTCCGCAGGAAACACAGGGAGAAAGAACCCAGTTTCAGTCAGTCCCACGAGGACGTCTCAAACCTGGGCAATGACTCCCCCACAGCCTCCTGCTCCTCCACCAGCCGTAAAAAGTCTGGAAGCTTCTCCCGTCGCCTCATCAAACGCTTTTCGTTCCGCTCGTCCAAGACAAAGGGCAAATCCAGCACAGCCAATGGAGGGTCCAGCACTACAGATAACTAAAGGAGAAACAGAGAGAAAGGACGAGTAAGAGAGACACGGTGCGGGCACCAGTCAAATGAGTGTGGAATCGGCTCCAAATTTCTCCAGAACTTGTTATTTATGTTATATACTGATTGTCCACAACCTGGTGGGGTAACGTAATACTTCAGACCACATTGCACCCAGGAAGCCAGCCTTGTTTTGGTGTTTGTTTCTTTTTGGACTGGAACATCATCATTCATCTACTATTAAGCTATTCAGGATGGAAAACACCAAAAAAAAGACTATTTCTGAATGCATCGCTTACCTAATTAATTTGACGAGACGGATAAAAGGCTGCTTTTGTGGATGATCGTGATGAGCGAACAAACTTGAGAAACTCAAAATGGACAGGTGTCATGCGGTTATTGAGCACAAGGGGGCGACATAGACCAATGACTATTGATGCCTCCAACACTGTCGCTGTGTTGTTTTTCTTATTTATTTTATTTCATCAGTTGCACTCTGGATCTTAATCTGATTGTTTACAATGCCGGGGAGCTCTTTTTCTGTCGTTTTTATCATGTTTGTGTATCGTTTAACGTACTGTTATCAGCACTGATTTATTTCTCCTGAGCTCATTAGGAGTAACGTAATTCCAGAGTGTGGTATGCTAAGACATGCTGTGAGCATTGTTCTCGTTTTGCTGTTACTATAGCATTTAGATCAAGGGATGTTATGCCCTGATTTCAAATAGTGGTGCGTTTGACTTTCATTGTGGCTTAATAATCTTTTATAATGACGTTTCTATTTGTTTAAGAAAACGGAAACGTTCATAAGTTACTTTAGGCATATCTCACTAAATTGCGTTCGTGTTTTTGGTTGTAAAGTATAAGCTCTTCATATGACAAAAGGGATACAGTACAGGGGGGGGAAATGCATTTGTGTATATTTATAAATTATACTACACATTATTGTAAATCTACAACCTCTGGAGCTACATAAATCTGAATCTGCAGCGGAGAGAAGTGCTATTTTCAGGGTCCACGTGATAACAAACCTCAGGGGATAACGTTACTATGAAAAGGTACAAATATGTTTAATCACTTTATCCATCTCGTTTTTGCTTTCAGAGATGGCTTCTTGAACAAAACAGCGTTACCCCAGTAACATGCATCCCCCTTTCCTCTTTATTCGTTTAACTTGGTTGCAATAAACGTAACTTATCCAGAGGAGCGCACGTGCTTTACTTAAGCACAGGTAGATTGTATTCTTGGTAATTCATGATAGCTTTTATGATAGTGTTGAGCAGAACATTTTAATATTTTTCTGATAAACTAGTAATTCGCGTTAAAGGTATAGTTCACAAAAAATTCTATTTAAATTCGGTTTACTTTCTGTGGACCATAGATGCATCATGCAGTGGTAACCGAGGCTGTTTATCTGCATAAAATCTCTTTGTCTATTGCACGACAGAAAGTCATAGAGGTTAGAAACAACTTCAGAGTGGGCAAATGAACACAGATCTCATTTTGGGTGAACGGTCCCTTTAAGGAATCTCTTTTGCGGTATCCCTCCCCCATCCCATATGATCGGTGCATATTTCAGCATTTGGTTCTACCAAATATTTGAAATAATCAGAACTCTGAAAAAAAGAAAACTGGTTGTCAAGTTAACAGAATCTAATTACTACAGGAAAACATCTTACCTACAAAACGTTGACTTGCAGTTCATGAATCCATGACAAAGCGCTTGTTTGCTAATAGTTAGTGTAACTCCTGGAGCATAAAGCCTGAAAATGTTATATGACCAGAATTTTATGATAACAGCGAACAATCTAAAATGAAGGCAGTGGACCTTCTAAGGTACTCGGAGCTTCATATTATTGTGGTTAATTTGATGTTTTATTTATTCTGAATAAATTATTTTTGAAAATCCATTCCTCTTCATTTTCCTTTTTTGCCTCTAAAATGTTTTAGTTACATGACTTGAAAAGGAGAAAAAGGCCAAGGGAATGTGGCAAGTTGAAAAAGTGTTCTTGTGATTTAAACCACCAACAAGATTTATTTCTTTAAACTCTTGTGCGATCTTCGGTCACTTGAATTTTTCATTTGGAATATTTAAAAATCTTAGCTTCATCGGAATGGTACGAAACTTGGTGACTTTTATGGCACTTGATATGTGAACACACACAAAAATTGAGGGCGTGATTCGAAAAAGCTAAGTGCTTGTAAAAAATAAAAAAAATCACACTCATGGTCTTCAGTCAAAAATGACCGACTATAGGAAATGGCAAAAAAATTTAAAATACAGAATTTTTTTGTGAGTACAACCTACAAATCCCCCACGATGCAGAAAAAAATTGCACAGCAATGAAGGGGTGAAACTCTAAAACATCTAGAGAGCAAAATCAACACACTCACACCCCTATGAGCTGGTGTGCCTGTAACACAGCAAATATGTCAAATAAAATCAATAATTCAACTACAATTTAGTAAAACAAAAAGTGGACAGCAAGGAAGGGGTTACACTCTAAAACATCAAGAGTGCAAAACAGACACATCCACTCACAGACACACACACATACACAATTATACACACTCAAATGAATTGGTATGGCTGTAACCATATTGCCAAAATGAGTCAGAAAACTGAAATAAGAGGTTAAAATCAGATCAGGCCCAGGAGGATTAAGCTCTGATAAAGCATTTTTGTTACATTTTTATTGAATTTTAATGTTTTGTATAACAGTACTCAGGTTTGTATTCAGGTTTGACTGTAGTAATAATAATTCAAAAACTGACGCTTCAAATCAACATTTAAAACAAAAAATATATATAAACCTTGACCAAAAGTAGTCTTTGAGAATGCCTTAATATACATTTAAATCCACAGCCTAATAAAAGTAAACAATTATGTATAAAAACAACTAGGGAATTCAAAAGCCTCTCTAAAGATTCCTTTACAGGCTTCTAGTGGTTTCACCATGACATTACATGTTTTTCTTTCTTCGCTCTCACCAGGAGGTGCTAATCTGCCTTCAAACAAATGGATTTTAAAGGCCTAGTCTCTATTTTAATCAGAGATACTGCATTGATTGAAAAATAATAGTAAACAATTAGAGAAAACATTTTTGTACTATTTTCAATGGGAAAAATTGATAATTATTGCATAAATATGAATTATTACCATACAATTATCTCAAAATAAAAAAATGTTATTGAACAAAAATATATTAGATTGATTTTACTAAAGAAAATAAAAGTTAAATTTCAGGTGTCCGGTCACTTTTGACCGCGAAGACCATGAGTGTGACTCCCAAATGAGGAGCGCACAAGTAAACTCAGTGGATTAAGTAATCTAAAAATGTATTACCGGTGTATATAAAATATTACATTACATATCACCCTAAACAAGAGAATTGTGGGGATTTAAACATAATGCGCCAAACTGTTAAAATTCAGAGGGAATGTATTCAATCGGTTTGAATTTACCGCCCAAATTTGATTGACATAGCAAAAGACCAATGGCGTCACAGACGAAGAGTACGAATCAATCAGATCGCGCACATTTAGATGCCCTCGGATTGGTTCGTTAGTTTACGCTGTTTATGCACTACAAGTTCAAGCCAATAGGAGAATACATCCGCTCTAGGGTTCGCTCTAACAGCCAATCAGGGCCGTGCTTTGCTTCGCGTATCCAATCATAACGATGGGCGGGATCATACGGCCCTAGTTCAGTCAGTCCTTAAATACTGCAGCAACTCCACAGACGATCTCACTGATTTCTTCAATAACCAGAGGAAAGAAGATTGTTAAGCAACATGTCTGGAAGAGGTAAAACCGGAGGAAAAGCCCGCGCTAAGGCTAAGACTCGCAGCTCCCGCGCTGGTCTGCAGTTCCCCGTTGGCCGTGTGCATCGTCTCCTGCGTAAAGGCAACTACGCTGAGAGGGTAGGTGCTGGTGCCCCCGTCTACCTAGCTGCCGTTCTTGAGTACCTCACCGCTGAGATCCTCGAGTTGGCGGGAAACGCTGCAAGAGACAACAAGAAGAGTCGTATCATTCCTCGCCATCTTCAGCTGGCCGTCCGTAACGATGAGGAGCTGAACAAACTGCTCGGTGGCGTGACTATCGCCCAGGGAGGAGTTCTCCCCAACATCCAGGCCGTGCTGCTGCCCAAGAAAACTGGCCAGGCTGTCCCCAGCACCGGCAAATCAGGAAAGAAGGGTTCTTCCCAGTCGCAGGAGTATTAAAAACTACGCTGAATTGAGTCAACTCATCCAAAGGCCCTTTTAAGGGCCACCCAATTATTCTGAAAAGAGCAAATTCCATTTGTTTGAATTGTAGTGGTAGTCTGTATTGAGACGTTTTGCATATTAAACGGTCTTTTTTGAAGTTTGCGTTTTTGTGGTGTGAGGATGAACAATTTTACACATGTGATCGACGGGGAGGGACAAAAAGTGTAATGATGGTATCAACATTTTTTTTTTTTTTTTTTATTACAGAAACTTTTCATATTGATATAATTGCAGAGTAGCGTTGTAGGTCAAATAATTTGCTGGTTAATTTAATCACATCTTGAAGACACATTGTGGGATCAAAACCATATAAAAATATTCTAAAACAACTTAAACGTTTTTCTTTAAATTGCCCACTTTGCCAAATCTTACATGGAGCCCAAATTCTAGTTTTGGTTTTTTTTTATTACAGAAACTTTTCATATTGATATAATTGCAGAGTAGCGTTGTAGGTCAAATAATTTGCTGGTTAATTTAATCACATCTTGAAGGCACATTATGGGATCAAAACCATATAAAAATATTCTAAAACAACTTAAACGTTTTTTAAATTGCCCACTTTGCCAAATCTTACATGGAGCCCAAATTCTAAAGAACTTGAAAGAAACTACATCTTAGCACCTCATTGTGATTAATGAATATTCTCCATTATTAAAATGCATCGTATATTAAAAACAGGATATGCTGTTAAATAAAAATGCCATATTTTGTTAGAGGTACATAACGACAAAAAAATACTCTTCTAAATTTAAAAATCATGGTCAGATATAGAAGATGGCTATTTTGACCATCTAATTTTCAAGTGGTTCATAGATGAAGGCGGCAGTCTGACATTAGAAATGGAAGACCATCAGCATGAATTCAGTGCCTGAGAAGAGACGACGGTAGTCACAACAGTAGAAATGTCTTCTGTGTGAACCAGCAGCTGAGAGAAAAACTGCTGCGGTCACATTGTTAAACTGAGGTATAGTATCTGAAGTGATTTGCTGGTTATTTATACAGCCAATCAAGGTTGTATTTAAGCTCTGGAGATTCAGCTATAGAGCATATAGTTGTGTGTAAGGTTTATCCAAGTTAACAGCATGTCAAAGGTTCCAAAACTAGGTCTAATACTCCAGTGCACAAAATGTAAAAAGCCAGCTATCGAGCATCATTTAGTTTCCTGGCTGTTGTGAGAATGTCTTTGGCCCCCTTATTAAGGAGAGCATTAGCCAGATCCATTCCCAGTTTCTCAGCAGCTTCGAGGGCCGATGATGATACACTGCTGGCAGTGACTCCAACGTGTTCACACGTCTGTGCACTCTCGCTCACCTGATAGAAACAAGTTGGAATAAAAGTTATAATACTGTAAATAATAATATATAATGCTGTAAAATTGTAAATACATTGACATTCAAGGGCTTGGGGTTGGTAAGATTTTTTTATATGTTTTTGAAAGAAACCTCATACTCACCAAGGCAGCATTTATTTAATCAAAATACAGTAAAATAGTAATACGGCTAAATATTAAATGTTCTATTTTTATATATTTAAGGAGCTGAATTTTCAGCATCATTACTCCAGTGTTACACGATCCTTCAGAAATCATTGTAATATGCTGATTTCTCATCATCAGCAATGTTGCAAACAGTGCTTCATATTTTTGTGGAAACCATGAAACATTTTTTCCATGATTCTTTGATGAATAGAAAGTTCAAAAAAAGATTTTTTTTGCAACAACGTCTTGTCACTGATCAATTTAATGCATTCTTGCTGATTTAAAAAAATCATACTGACCCCAACCTTTTGTATGTATGTATATTTAACCCTTACTTTGTTGTCAATTTCCACAACCGTCTGCATAGTGTCCTTCAAGCAATCAGCTCCATCCAAACTATAAACTGCTCCAGTCAAATACAGCTGAAACCAGAAAAAAGATCATTCAGTCTATGCTATACAAACATCAACAACACTTATTCAGATTTGCATTGTGTGAAGTAGCATAATAACATGCCACTGAATGTCTGTAAATATAGTTATATTTTGTCTCTTTACCATGGACCCTTTCACTTCTGTATGAACAGCAACAGGCACACTGCAGCCTCCTTCCTGAAAGTAGAAAAAGGGAATGAAGAGCAGTATTAAAACCATTAAACTACATAGAATACCCTCAGGTCAAACTGATATGAGCCAAATGCAATGAGAGCTGAGTTCATGTGTGCGTGTAAAGAAACCCACCAGCTGCTTGAGAAAAGCTCTCTCTGAGATGCACCGCAGCACTGTGTCTGGATGGTGCAAGACAGACACCATTTCCAGAATGTCTTTATCTTGTGCTCTAACTTCCACTGCCAGTGCTCCCTGATGATAAGACACATTTCTGTTTATTTACAGACTGACATTTACTTAGGACACACTCCTGCAGGTTAATGTTACAGCGAGTATGCATACAGAGCAGTCTGATCGCAAATGAAGCATTATGTGTTCATGTAGTGTCTTAAAAAGGTTTCAATAAGTATTAGTTTGCCTTCCACAGAGGTATTCAAGCCCTAAACTGTTTATTTAGTTAATTTGTTCAAATAAGTGAAAAAGTAATGGAGATGGAAGTAGTTTTTTCAAACTGGAGACCATATTGACGTATTTTGTTCCATTCAATGTATTTCCCAAATTGTCTTCACTTGGTCTAAAAACTCTTCAATTTACTATCATAAAACCTGCAGAAACCCTGCATGCAACATATACCATATAACTGCACTTTCATGGCTTCAACCGTTAACATAATTTGTTACACAGGTGTTTCCTTTAGTGTTTATAATGAGCATTAACAGTTGAGCTTGGCAGCTGCAGGTGCGTATTTTCTCGCATGAACAACAGCATGAACAATACAATAATAAGTACATAGCATGACGGGTATAAACATTGAAAAATATTTGCTACTAAATCTAGTGCATGAAAACCTAATGCAATTTCACAGTTCACGAATGGTTGTGCATGTTTGCACACTTACCTGGCCAACAGCATACATGCAATCTTCAGGGCCCAGAATCTGCAATTTATACAACAATACTATAAATGCATTATAAATACATCTAGAAACTCTGCTGTAGTCAACAGAGACCTCCATATTCAGAATAGTGGTTAGTACACCCATATCACGTCTCAAATTAAATATATTTTTTTGTTAGAACTGAATATGAGGTCATACTATGAGGCCAGTATGATTGATATCAACTTTATTTATTTTTTTCATATCAACGTTTTCTATTTTTTTTTATTTTTCGATACTCCATTACTCAGAAGTATGTCATTGTATATAAGAAAATATCTGCAACTACATTGTGATTTTATCATACCTGACTGATTCTGCTTTCCCAGCCCATACGTTTAAGGCCTGCTGCGGCCAGAATAATGGCAGCATAGTCATCCTTTTCATCCAGCTTCTTCAGACGGGTGTTTAGGTTCCCTCTCTATAGCAGTAAGGTCAAGGTGGAAGACTCTAGTACCGTTAAAATGCTATATACAGTATAGGGAAACTGGCTGGTGTAACAAATACCCAGGAAATATGTGCTTGCTTTGGCAGTCCATCAAAATGATGATAAAGCTCCTGCTATTTATAATATATAAACATCCACATACACAAAAAGGAAAGGAAAGGAAAGGGCAGGATACAATATTTTCAAACTCCAGTTGAGGGAATCGTTTCTTCAGCTGAGCTGCTCTGCGAAGTGAACTTGTGCCAATCACGCTGGGGGAAAAAAAAAAGAGAGAGAGAGAGAGAGGTTTCAAAATGTTTCGGACACCTTTGGTTACATAACTGCATATAGCTGTCAAAACATGACATCTATGGCAGAATGTAGATTTTGAATGAAATTCTATCACCATGAAAACCACTGATCTCCCTTGATTATTGGGTCATCAATCAAATTCTGGAGGATAGATGCTGGCACTTTTATTTGGCATGACAAGATTGTTAAAAAATACAGAGCTCACCTCTTCTCTGGCAAGCTGTCTAGGGTAAGTGCAGCATTCTTTGGATGAAGCACCACTGCATCATGGGGATTTTCCCTCCTTCACAAAAACAATACACAACAAATCACTCACCACTCAAACAGGTTCTACTCCTGTACAGTGCCTTTGGTAATAACAAGTCATAAATATGCAATTCATAAATTAACTTTATAATTAATTAAAAAGTTTAAAAACTATTCATAAGACTTAATTAGATATTTACACTACCAGTCAAAATTTTGGATTAATTCGTTTTTTTGTTTTAGTTTTTTTAAGTTTCTCATTACCATTTATTTGCATTTATTTTATATAAAAAAAACTGTGAAATATTATTACAATTTAAAGTGAATTCGTAAAGTCAATTAGTAATGCTGCTGAAAATTCAGCTTTGATATCACAGGAATAGAGTACATTTTAATAAAATATATCACAATAGTAAACAGTTATTAATTTGACATTATTATAATATGTTGCAATACTCGGATCGGGGGCACAAAAAACCTGATCGGGACATCCCTATATTTTACATTATTATAATATGTTACAATATTAGCTTTTCACTGTATTTTCCACAAAAATAAATGCAGCATTGATGAGCACAAGAGACTTCTTTCAAAAACATTTAAATGCAATAATTATTCAAGAACTTTTGACTGGTAGTGTAAATTAATAAACCAATTGATCAATTTAAATTAAATTAATAATTCATCGGAAAACAAAACAAATATTTGTTAGATGTCGAGGTTGTGGTCCTTACTGAAGAATGGCTCCAATAGTGAATCCAGGGGGTAGTGAGGTAGGTAAATCCTTAAGAGAGTGCACCACAATATCCACTCTAGTGATGAATAAACGCATATTAAAAAAAAAAAGGGAAAACCTTCATATAAGCTGACATGAGAATATACTAGCATTAGTGTCCTCAAACTTACTCATTTTTCTCGAGGGCATTCTCCAGCTCTTTGGTAAAGAGGCTCTTTTCGCCAATCTAAGAAAATACAGGTTTAAAACATGGTAAATCTGACACATTTGATAGCTGATAATGGATTTGTACATGTTGGGCAGCGCACAAAAGTTCAAGGGCATTTCTTCCTACCAAAACCTGACATAATGGCACATGAAATTGAGGAATTGACGGAATTCTACCTTTGATAATGCAGTGTCCAGGATTTTGTCCCCAATTGTAGACATGGCAACTGAAAAGCACGCAGACAAAAAGGTTAAGGGCTGAATACTTGTGCACTGGCTCCTACTCTGACATCATCACTCGTCTTTTGACACAGACAGTAGGATTCAGCAGTGAAGCGGTCGTATAGATTACACATTCTCAGCAGAACACAATCGCTCT